TTGGGTAGATACATCGCTATGGATACGTCTGGGTGGACGAGTCTCCATAGATGGGTACCTAAGCTTCATCCAGGAATGGATGTGTGGCTATGAACACTGCTCACACCTTGTGAGTTTCCAACGCAACAACGTCAGGGCGACGTGCAGAGACCATAACTGCAGAGAGTGTCAGCGAAAAAGGGGGGAGAGAGTACGCAGAGCGAAGTCTGGGAAGTACTCTTAACAGTAGTGATGTACACATGTGATGATAATTTATATGTTATATGTTATATGTTTGTGTTTTCTTGGTGTGACGGATTTCAGCCACCCTCGTGCTCCGTACTGAGGATGCTCAGGCAGGTATCATCCTCGTGGTTCGTTGCCTTTGCTTCAACTCAAGATTGCTCTCAGGAGAGCTTCCACAGATGGGGACCTTTGCACAACTGGTGCCGGGCCCTCTTCATCCCGAGCTTCTGCTGTGTCACCCGCCATTTCCAGCATGACGGCCGCTTTAACACAGAGCATGCCGTTGAGAAAGAAGTGACTCATTGAGTCAGGGAGCGATTCTGACGTGTGACGGAGAAAGCACCACACTAGCCGTACGCGTGACACTGCATCAGTTTTCAATAGTTTTTTTGGGGAGGATTACGATGCAAGGAACCAATGAATGATAACGCGGGCTTTTGTTTGGCTATTTTTTGTTTGCCAGCCTGTTTGCGGGTGTACCTGCCTCCCTGCCAGTTCGTGGCTGCTTTCTTCCGCTACCTTGTCTCCCAGCCTACAAGCGGTCCTTTTGTCTCCCAGCCGGCCTCTCCACAGGCATCGGTCCTTCAAGCATGCTGTCCTATTGTTTCTCTTATTAGAGCTGAAAACCGCAGAGGAGCAAACCGGCCTTTTGCTCGCCCTTTGCCTGGGCCAGCTCACAGACTTCTCCGTCCCCTTTTTGTATTCAAGTATGGTGCCACTTGTGCATGCTACCGTCAACTTGTTGGTTGGTAACAATGCTGAGCTCCCAAACGTGCCAACATGTGGAAAACCCAGCGAAAAGGAGATCAAACGGAAGCTGAATCTGCGTTGGCCCGCCTGCAGTTCAGTCATGGCAACTTGATGTGTGGCAGGTCTCCGAAATTTTATCGCTGGCAGTTCCCAAGACCATTCCGCGCCGGAGCTTCCCCGTGGGAAACGACCTGTGCGCGAGAACCCGTGTTTTTGTCGCAGGCTCGGAGCGCCATGGCGGAGGAGCCAGATGAAGCAATGAGGGAGGTCATGGAGGCAGAGGATGACCTGGAAGAGGTGGAAGGCGATGAAGAAGATGCCGAAGCGGGCTGGGAGGGTGGAGAGGGCGAGGCAATGTGTCGCCCGCCCGATGAGGAGGATGAGGCCTTGCAGCTGGACCATCAGCTAGATGAAGGTAAGTTTCATGTGGGTGTGAGTTGGGTACACCTGGCCGGCCTCAGCGGCAAGCGAGAGCAATACAATGGAATGAAGTGCTTGATCACCTCTTTTGGCGTTCGTAATCCAGCTCTTGTGAAGGTTCGTGCTGTTGAGAAGAACGAGCATGGCAAGTACATTGCCTTATGGGTGAAGAGGATCAATTGTCGCAACACCGTGCACAAGGACACCGGTGCCTGGAAGGCCACTGAGAATCCGGAAAACACCGGTGCCACGGGCGCCGCTCGCTGGGTGGCGCTCGGTCGCTCAGAGGTCGATGCAATGCAGGGAAAGTTGAAGTTTCAAAAGACACCGGAAGAGGAGGCTGAGAGAGACTGGGTGGTGGTTTGGCTCTCTTTTCATTTTTTTTCTTTCTTGGAACTCGGTTGTCCCAATGAGGCCAAGTATAAGACTTTCTGTTTGTGTGCCTGGCTTGCCTAGGAGAGGAGCTCTTCAAACTCATTGATGTGAATCACAATGGAAAGCTGAGCCTTGCAGAGATCGACAAGGCGCTTCCCGAAGTGATGGGTTGTGTGGCCCTCTTCAACGCTAAGCCTGCCATCATTCGGGCCTTCTTAGCCGCCACGGGACGGCCTGCATGTCGAAATGACAACACGGCCTTCCGTGAGCATTCTCGAGACTATGTGAAGCCGGGGGAGCAATTTCGGAGATTGATCCAATACCTCCATGAGTTCTTTGAAATGTACCTGATCTTTCAAGACATGGCCGATGCTGACGAAGACCGTCGCATCGACTGCAAGGAGTTTGCCGAGTTCGTTGCCTCGGGCAAAGCCGAGAAGGTGGGAATCCAGGTGACTCCCGAGATGATGGAAGACCGATGTGGTGCGACACCCATGCCAGGGTATTCCTTATTCAATGAGATTGATGAAGACCAAGGCGGCTGCATTCTCTTCAAGGAGTTTTCAGACTATTGCATCCGCATGGGTCTCAAGACTACTGCAGGTCGAGATCCAATTGATGGCGGAAAATTGCGAGCCATGTTCCATCAAGCGAAAGACATGGATGACGCCATCTCAATTGGCCGTTTTGTAGAGATATTGAAGAAGGTTGGCATCAGAGACGGGGAGATTGATGCAATCATCAAAGCAACGGACAAAAATCACAACTACAAGATCGACATCGATGAGTTTGTTGAGTGGCTCACGCAAGACGACCACCATGCCGCATTGAAACGGGCCGAAAACGACGGCTAAGTGGCCGTTCGAGCGGCTGTGGTTTCAAGGCGATTCTGCTTGAAGACCCAGACCTACAAGAAGGGTGGGGCAAACATGTGCTTAGTACATATAGGAATTGGAATGTACAGGATCCGATGCCTCCATCCTTTTTTTGTAGGCGCGAACTGACGACAAAAGCGGCGGAGTGTGCCATGCTTGCACCAAACTCTGTCAGTTTTTCCGATTGGGGGCAACCGCATTTGTAGCTAAGCTAGCTAAGCTGTTCAAGTGGGAATCGTCTGAAATGACATGCACTTGAGTCATTTATCAAATATATATATATATATATATGTTGGCCAGTTTGGCTCAATTATTTTTGCTCCTTTTAGGCACTTCATTGCTGTAGAAAGCATTGACCTCAGACTGCAGAGTCTCTACTTGTGCCGTGCAAGCAGGCCTTGCCGCAATCGCAGAATCAGTGCGGTTGAGTCTGAGTCTGGTGAATGACGCAGCCCAAAGTCTTTTTGATGCTCACGATCTTTTAAATATATAACCCAGTAGCAACTAGCAACCAGTATCTCACATGGCCATGAAAGCAGGCCCTGAGTCTGTGACGAATGATGGGCCAAGGTTCGACACATCGTCTCGTGCATGTTTCTTGAAAGCCTTTGAGCCATGTCATGGGTGGCCTGACAGCCGTGGGCTTCAAATTGCTGCGCCATGACGTTCTCCGAGTGCGGAGACTCAGCACCAGCCTGCAGAAGGCCAAGCAGGCTCAGCATCTCGCAGTTGCTGTGGCAGCTGGCGGAGCTGTCGGCGGAGTTCTCTTCCACTCCGTGGTGGATGAAGTGGTGCACCTCCCAAGTGGGAACCTCTCCACTGAAGCTCCCAGCATCTGTGGCTTCGCAGCTGGTGGCGCTGTTGCAGCCGTGGTGGCAAGTACCACCCCTCAGCGAATGGGCTTGTTCAACTCCATCGTCCAGACATCAGCCATTACCCGCGCCCCTTGGACAACAGTGGCCCGAACTGCAGGCTTTGGCCTTGGCGTGGGCTTGCGGACCGCCTCCAATCTCTGGATTTGCTTGGGGGCCAACGCGACCGGAGCTGTGTGTGGCGCCATGACCAGTTTGAACCCCTCTGAGAGCACATTCGCATTGGCATTCCCCTTGGTCTCCTTCTCCGTGTTCACATTGCTGGTCGTCCCTGCGTTCTGGGCAGGAATTTGCTTCGGAGCCGTTGGGCTGGCGACTGGTGCAGCGGCTGGCGTCTGGCTGGCGCAAGGTGGGTGTGGAGTGGTTGCCTTGTCAACACGGCAGGCAGCACTTCGGCGAGCCTTTGTGCGGTGCTGCGTGGCCTCTCCGGTGGCTTTGGCGGGAAGTGTGGCCATGGGTCTTGCTCCAAACGTTCTGAGTTTGGTCATGGCGAAGATGGATGCCATTCAATTTGGTGATGTTTATCATCCTGAAGCGAGTCAAGAATATCGTACTCCCAGTGTTGATTGGACAACGAGGCGCTCTCGGTTTCGCGAGATGTAGTCACGTAGTCGCAGTCCTGGCAAAGAAAGGCCGATGCAAGAAAGGTGGGAGTTGCAGCTGCAGTCGTACAACATGCCGATGCGCTCTTGTGCGTTTTGGGTAATGGCTGGGCTGCGGCTTCGGACATTGTTGTGACTGGAGACTTGTGCGGTCCTGCGTGAGTGAGCTTCAAATCGATGCGTAAGTGAGAGGTGCGATGCGTAAGTCGATGCGCACGTGAGCAAGTGAGAGCCTTGCCCGTCTGAGGCGGGCATGATGCGGTCGCAGGGGCCTTAGCTTCAAAAGCGAGCTGAATGCTGATTGATGGTGCTGAATCACGGTGGGGCCTACGTGCCAAGTCGGTCGTTCCCAGCTGTTCCCTGTCAAGGTCAGCAAAGGTCGGTGCCTCGGTCACTGAGGTGAGATGTGGACCGTGTGTGGTGTTGGGGACTGACTGGTGCGCTCGCGGGGCCGTTTGGCTCTTGAACACTGGATGAGACACACACGTCTAGGAGTCTAGAAACTCCAGATGTTTGCTGGAGGTTCTGGGGCCTCCTGTCATGATTATTGGCTTGAGCCAGCCAGAATACTGGGCCGGTGGGATTGGAATTGCATCCTAGAGGGCCTGCACACCAGTCGAATCCCTCGATTCTTTGGACTTGGCATTTTGCCGACACGTCAGTCCAGTCCCACACCCAACATACGACGAAATGACACAGAAGGCGTAGTCGTTCGCGGAGACTCTTGTGCACTCCCCTCCCACCAAAGCTGCCTGAGACTAAATGAGCCATAATGTGCCTCAATGTGACGACTTGAGCCTGTGATGTGCCAGTGCCGAGAAACCTTTGATGCCAGCGGCCCGCTGCTTTCCTCCGCTTCCTTTGTGTCCTCTTTCGCTGAGCTCCTTGGCGAGCAGCGACCTTCTTGGATTGACATGGATACGGTGTGCCAACAAGTGAGTATAGAGATTATGAGACGGTGTTTTTGGTCTTATCCAGGCGATTTGACTTGACTCTCATGCAGGCCAGAAGACAACCTGCATCATGGTGCACTGGAGGCTGGCTCTTAAGGAGATCCCAACCCTGAAAGCTACAAACTTCTGGCCTAGTTTGTGGCATGCAGGTCTACAAGTTGGAGGCCGCCAAGTGCCGCTTGGAAGCATTTTGTGTGGTGGCTGGGCAACCCGTTGGCCCGAAACCTATGGTTTAGAGGTGCGAGATGTCCTGCATCAACAGGGCATATGTCCATCAACAGGGTCTCAGCCGTTGATGTGCGAAGCGTGGCTTAAGGTCCTGGTGCTGATGAGCCGCTGTGCGACAAAGTGAGAGAGTGTGTGGATCGCGCGGCCATGCGCGTACTTGGAGCATCCATCTTGGCCAAAGACAGCATTTGGTCTGCAGCAGATGCTGTTTCCAATCTGCTTTGAACTGTTCAGACATGAATGGTGCTGTATACGCCGTATACATGTGAACACCCAGGCTCGGCTGCAGCTCCAAAGCTGCTTGGCGAGACACTAATCTTGCTGCACTTTGGTGGCCCAGCACATGATTGGACACGACTGAAGTGTATAGTGACGGACAACCACTTATATAGCAAAAATACAATAGCTTTCCACAATCAAAGTCCCTTTACTTAGAACATCAAGTTGGGTTTGAGAAAAGCCAAGGAATAGAAGCCATGTTCTTAGTCTTTGTGTCAGTCATCGCATTGTTACACATGTTGGCCTTACGCTTAGCACATCCCTTACCAGGGCAACCATTGAAAAAAGCATGTCATGTCCAAACGATGTTCTAAGTGGGTGTCAGTCACTATAGTGTTGATTTTCACCAGCTAGTTGGCTACTCCCATGCAACTCATTCATGCAGCTGTTCTTCTCTCACAACCCTCAGGGTGTCTTCGATCTCAGCCGTTCCCGTTGGTATGGCCTGGCTTCTTCCACATGCATTGCTAGACTTGGCCTCAGCGTGGCATCAGAAGGAAGCAGGAAGATGTGGGTGTTTTGTTTTTTTTTCCCGAACCTTTTCAATCAGTTGGGTGAACAAGAAACATGTTGCATGCCCCCTCTGGGTGTTTCAAACTTGTGACATCCAAGGACACCCATGCAACAGAGCGTCGCCGCTCGAAATGGACCAACGTCGCCTTCTTTTGAGTGAAGGGAGTGCGTGGAAAATGTTGCCAGCGCTGAGCGTTTGCTGAAGCCACCAAACTGTGTGCGGAATATTTTCAGCCTGAAAATGGTTGACGTCCAGAAAAGCGTTGCAACAGGGAGAGTGACGTGCCTTTGCTGCAAGTGCGAGGCCAATCGCTTCAGCTCGGCCAGAAGCCCAAAGAACCAATCCCGGCTTGTGTACCTTCTATTAGTGGCCCAGAGTAGTTTATGTCATGGGCTATGTCTGAAGTAGCATTGTCCAAAGTCTTTTGAAGATCTTGAAGAACAAATGTTTCCTTCGCCGGCGGGAGCTTCTCCCAGCCTCAAACCTTACGCCCGTCACCCAGGTTTTGCTCCTGGCTGTGTTTGGCACTTTTGCCCGGGGCCCTTGGCTTTTGCCTTGAAACCGTCTTCTTTGAACCGGTGAGACCGGAGCACACTGTACCTGGTACCTTGTGCCCCACCGAGCGTCTGGCCGAGGCCTCAAGAAGCTTTCTGTGCCCAGGTGCTCAGCCAAACTCTGAGGACCGCCTTCTCCGCAATTTTCCTGGTCTCTCCGTCTTGAAAGAGAAAGAACAGAAAGAAAGAAAAGAAAAAGGACAGACATGAACCAAGCAGATATTGCAAGATATTGCCTGAATGCTTTCTTGGACCTTATTTATGGAGAAGAAGTCAATGCTGTCAGGACCTGAGCCCATCTCGCAGAGGCCAAACGTAACAAAAATGTCCATCCCATCCAGTGCAGCCAGTCTTGGGAGGCCTCGTGGGTGCCTTGGTGGCCACCACTTTGGCATCACCTGCCCTGGCCGCAGAGAAGAGCCTGGCGCAGAAGCTTGAGGCCTGATTGAGTCGTCCAAAGAACCGGGCGTCGGGAGTTGCTCCAAATCACCATGAACATGGTGACCGTTGTTGGTTTGCATGCGGATGCATAAGGCAATGCATCCGCCAATACATTGTTTCCCCTGGGTGTGGTGCCGTCCCCACTACAGGGTTACTGTAAATGCCACGGCATGTAGGTCCTCGCCTCGAGACCTATGGCACCCAGTGGTTTGAGAAGGGATGTGATGTGACCAATCAAATTCTCATCATAATCCTTTTTTCCCCAGGGGAGTTCTTGATGTTGCTGGTTCTGCTCAAGCTTGGAGAACAGAAAACTCTCAACTTCTTCTTCACTTTGCCGTAGCTGAAGTGTCACAATGGCGCTGTTTTCGCGTTTTTGCCCATGTCATCAATTTTATCGGTGCGTTTCTTCCCTTCCGAAACCAGGTCAGTGGCATTGGTGGCAAGCGGGGGAAGCAGCTCAATGGCCGCTCGGCAGTTTCGCTAGTCGCGTGACCTGGGTAGATGGGTACACATCAAATATAAGTATATAGGCATGGGGCACATATGTTCCGATACACATATTTGTGCAACCGCATGGTGGGGGTGCGGTAAATACAGCCTGTGATCTCCAAAGCTGACGAGATGGGTGAACGGCAGACGTTGAAAGATCTGACGATTCAGGCTTGTGGGACATTGATTCTAGCCGGCGGGTGCTTGGCTTATCGCTACTGTTCCGTTGTTTTTGCTTGACGATTGTTGAGTTTGCACAATAAACAGTTCTGTATGATGTACACACACACACATATATATATACACAAATGTTCACCCTTGTCAGGCTCTCAGGAATAGTCTTGCCAATTCCCCGTGTATCATTGCTTCATGATTTTATCTTAATGCTGCTCCGCAACACCAAGATCAATGACCGCGCAGTGTACAAGAAGGTCCGTGCAACTTGTTTGGGTGTGCGACTGGGATCCTGCGACTGCATGATGACATGCTTGTGAGGGCAACGAAGATCTTTACTTGATGTTCAACGATTGCCAGCAGTTTCAGCCGCCTGACAGATGATGTAAATGGCTTGCGCAGTGCCATGTCACTCAGCCTCCATTTTTCTCGAGCCTCTCCAGAGGTCTCGGATCTCTCAGAAAGTGCAGCGTGTTCACTCAGAATGTGACTAAATGCTCAGGATTTCCACAAAGCCCTCTGGTGAGTGCAACGGCTTTGCCCTTGAGCCACTGGGATTCGATCATGCGTCTAATTTTCCTTCCAGTTCTCTCTCCCAGGTTGCGAGAGCTTGCCCCCCTGTGGTTGTGCATTCCTGGACTGCCTCCAGTAAGTTGATTTAGTTTGTTGCGTAGCTTTCAGCGTTCCTTAGAGTCCTGATCGGCAAACAGAAAAAAGGAGGGCCCCCCTCCGTGACCCCAAGCACTTTACCTGCTTGACTTGTGGGAACTATATCCGCGTGTTGACGACCTGAGGAACAAGGGAGCATGGACCGTGGATGGCGAGGCTGCGAAGCTGAAGATCAAGCCGGTGAAGACGCCGGAGCAAAAGGACAGCGACGGTGACGGGACAGGGACGACCCAGAGAGAGTGTCGCCTACTTGGGCCATTTGGGCACCACGAAGGTGTGAACGAATGCATGCCTCCTCCAAAAGGCCCAAAGTTGAAATTCAGGAGCAGGCCAAAGAGGCCAAAGAGCAGAAAGGGGGCTTTTCGCTGAACATCGGCCTTCCCGGAGTGCCGAAGCTGAGTCAGGGAGCTGCAGCCTCGGTGAATGGGATATCCACCTGGTCAGTGTTGGCAAGAAAGGCAAACGGACAGAGAACTGCAGTTGTTGCCAAGAGTATGTCAAAGCCGCTTTTTCTTATGCTTCGAACTTCCTGAACTATAATACCTACTGTGGTGCGTCTCTTGCACCAAGGATCTTGAGGAGGATGCCAATGCTTTCAGTGTCTTCGACCCAGTTGACTCAACGCAACATGTGACATCAGCCCGAAGTAGCCACAACGCCCTTTGCTACTAGTAGCGATGCACTTGTTCCTAGTAGCGATGCACCTTGTTACTACTAGTGTCCTTGCTACAGGTTGAGGAATACCTTGCAGCTAGAGCGGCAAAGACGGGTGGTGGCCCTGGCTTCAGCGTTCAGGCCCTAGACTCCTAGATGCCCTAGAGCGTTCAATCAAGCCCCGGAAGCAAAGAATCGGAACCCCCGGAGAGAGAGTCAAAGGGTGCCAATGCACAATTTTGATTTATGGGTTTGTTACATTTATATACATGCTCTGAAACCAATACGTTCACGCCCTTATAAAGTCAAATTGCTTTGTCCCACTCAAATCTCCCATAGTGGTCCATAGATGAGACACTTCTTCCGCTGGATGCCGAGTCCTCCAGCGGTGCGATGGCGAGCTTTTTCACCATGGAGGAGGATGAGTTCCGTGCTTAGCCATGTGTCTCACATTTGAGCCAACGTTTCAATCAACGAGGTTCGAGCCACACCTTTCCCCCCTACAACAGGGAAGCTACTGTAGACTGTAAACTGGGAGGGGCTTGCCATGTTGTGGCAAGCTTCCCAGACAGGCAGAAGATCGCTGACAGCCTGGAATCGAAGCTCAGTGGGAGGGTGACCTCCATGAAGAAGGGGCGGTGAGCCCCTCTGGCCGAATTTTTTTCGCGTGGCTCATTTGAAGGAGCCTAGGGCTTCCGAGAGCCGGCATCTCTTACTTACTTAATGATCAGCTCCTGAAACAAAGGAAAGCCGTGTCGGATTATATTCCGCCCACATGTGAGTGCAGTTTCTGCAGGTGCTTGTGATATTTGATGTCATCATTGTAAATTCACATGCCTGCTTTGCTCAAGTGGATGGGATAGGAGTGACAGGAATCTTTGTCATCATGTGAGGCTTACTGGCATGGGGTTGTAAGACGACATGACAGTGAACACAGTTCAAATCGCTACTTTACATCTCGCTCTAAGCATGGCCCTCGTCTGCACCTCCAACTCTAAAACATCCAAACACCTGTCAAGACTCTTAGCTGCTTAGCTCACTTGCGGATCAGACTTTGCTGATTCTTGATGGGGCAACCAGTGCGCTTTCAGGATCTGGCCGGATTTAGCCGCAGCGCCGACGGGGCAAATGCCGCCAGATCCTCCAGATGACCCCGCAGATGCCTGTAAGTGATTTGTCGCACCTTGGTACCAATTGTCGTGGGCTAGCGGCTAGCTGGGATGTGGTTGGGCGGGGGCTTGTGAACTTATATGCCCAAAAGAACTATGTGGTTCGTGTGGGCAGCGACTGATGTTTGACTACCATGTGGTTGACGCATAGGGACACGGCTAGAGCAGCTCGTCGGCGGAGGCACGCGAGCTTCACCCAAAGAATGGGCGATTTCTGAAAAGTGGACCGAAGGGACTTTAGGAATATTTAGCGGCGCAAGAGCAAATTCAATCTTCGTTTTGACGAGAAATCTTTTGTTTCGGGCCCACCTTCCTTGCGCTAGGTGCCGGATGCCCAGCGGGGACCAGAAATGCCACCCTCAGATGTGAATGCTGAGGCAGACCGTGTGGATAAGAGTTCCAATCTGCCTCGGACAGGTTGCATGCGTCGTGAGATTGTCTGAGTCTTGCTGTGGAACATGATGAGGTGCAGCTTGCTCTGACCAACCAGCTATTCCGCGGCTCAAGCACCATAAAGTGGTGAATTGAATATTTTTCAATGGCTTTTACGTACTTGTACTGGCATAAGTAAGCCAGATGGAGTCATGCGAGCTGAATCTCAACTACAAGGACCATTGTCTCATCATTGTTGGCGACGGGGGTCCGTCCGATGAACTCTTGGCTCGAAGACGCTTGCTGGCCGGAGGGCGCTTGGCGCATTTTCTGGTCAGCGAGGGCCAAGTGAAGATCCGTGGCGAAGAGCCAAACGTTATTTTTGCCTGGCAACCTTTCAATTCCAGCGAAGCTGGTATGGCCTCACCCTTGGGTCGCAAGCTGGGTCAATCATTTAAAACCTACTGGACCAAGACAGGTGCAGATTGTATTGTTGTTCCGCCCAACCACACTTTGCACATCTACACCCTTAACGGGCAGATGAGGCACGTGCGGCTCGTACACGAGCAAGGGCATGTACTGATGGAGATATCGGGCGAAGTAGTTTTGGAGCCTGATGACGAAGTGGCGGGCACCTGGGAGGTTGGAGTGGAAGACCCGGAGCTTAAAGCCTTTGGGACTTTTTCAAAACGCTATGTGCTGAAGTCTTTAGTAGTTGTGCTAGTTTGGCACGTTATGAGGTGGACAGTTTCCATCAAGTTTGATGGGAGTGCTGAGGATGGTCAGGATCCATGGTGGCGGGGCCTGCTGGTTGTGCTGTCTGCTGTCTTCTTATGCGCGCCGGGTGTTTGGAAGAATTGGGCTGCCAGCCTGTCGGGAGAATCTGACGTGGATTTGATGGACAAGATGGTTTGCACAGTTGCCTTCCTGCTCGTTGCCATAGCAGCAACACCTGCACACTTGGCCGA